GGTCCTTTTTATGCCACGGGACCTCACGGCATAATATCTTAGTGCTTGAAAATGATAACAAATGAGCATTATGAGCATAAAAATCACCGTGTTTTATGATGTCTATGGTGCTGTCAGTGTCTGTAGGCAATGTTAATAGTCGTGATTGTCGACATTTGGTAGAATTTGAAAGACTTTTGAAAAACCAGCTGGCTTCACTTGATTCTGTTGAACGCCGAGCCAAAAATTACATAGGGGACAATTTGATTTAATTTGATTTAAATTTCAAAATCTAGAACATCGCCACAAAAGGCCAAGGAGTGGAATTCTCTCCCTGCTTATATTTTTCCATCCAAAAATTCTATCGAATTTAAGACAAATGTGAATAGGTTATTCGTGGGCTCACGAGCCCCATCTTAGACCATATCAACGTTTTCCATTAGGTGAGATTGTAATGAATAGGGGTATCTTTCAATAGTAAAAATAAAAACAGTTGTACTCTTCCAAGAGTATCTGTAGGCGGTATTTACTTTCCATCAACTTGCCGTACCATGTTAATATATATAAAAAAAGTAATAAGCCTGCACAGAAGTAGAAGAATTGACCGCCTGCGTAATTCTATAATACGTAGTCGTATTCTCCCAATGTACACAGATCCTTGGAAATATGACAATGCTCCAATATATGAATCTATAGCCATGGTAGCCTGGCAGATGTAGTATAGTATTTTTAAGTTTTCTGCTTTTTGTTTGGCATATTACATTTTGTTTTATTAGCACTTTAACTACCCTATTACAGATTTATCTGACAAATGTTTTCGTGACCGTATCGTCCTGTTGTCTTTAATTGATACAAAAACTGTTTGTATATTTGTTTCTTTTATTTATTTACATTAATGAAGTAACAAAATAGAGATAAGATATAGGAGTAAGTAATATACAGCAATATTTTATACACTGGTCTAATAACGAAATGTTAAAAGTCTGTTAACCACAAAAAAAAAAAATTGGATAACAGACTTTTATTCGAAAATAGATATTCGATCGATATGGGCGATATTGATATGCGTGATGACCTTTTTTCCACCATTAATGCCCAGAGAAACCCAATATATAGATATCGGATCAGTTTCCATATTAACCATGTCTAACAAGATATAGAACAAAGAACTTTAAAACTACTTATAGTCAGAAATAGTCATAAAGTGGTACACAATATCTAGCCAATTTTTCTATAATAGCATACCGTATAACCATACTATTTTAAATCATATGGGTTCATAAATCAATCGAAAATAGAATGCACTATTTTCGACGGTTGGTTGCACTATGCCAGCTCACTAAGTGCTTTTTCACGCTACGTTTGAAGGATTTGAGGCTATAGGATGAAGAGAACACGTCACGGGGAAGGTACATTCCACAATGTTACGGTATGATTCAGGTATTTTAATGCTAGTGGCATGATAACTGTTACGACGCTAAACGGTTCAGAGCAGTGGTATCATTTAGTGTTGTTACTCTATCACTAACTGAATTCTTAGAAATAATAATGTACGTGGGTACTTAAGTTTGTCATACATATAAAAAATAAATTACTTATATAAATAGATTATAATTAATGTTTAGACATCAAAGTTTCTGCACTGTCATAGCACAATTTTTCTAGAGAATAATTCAACAAGAGGTCGACGATGTCGTCACCTACGCTGTTATTTTTAGTATCATACGAATATTACAATTTAAAATGTAATTAATTATGCATAGGTATTGTGAACTTTTAGCTCTTAATAGCAAATACTTTTTACCATATTTTAAACACACAATTCGGGATTTAACGCGATGTAAAAGTTTTTACAGGTAAAAAAGTATCTACATACTTATTTCTTTGTTGCCGTCGTTTCGTATATTTAAAATACGTGTAAACAACGTGAAAGTTTAAAATTAACACTATATATCAGTTTAATAAATAAATGAATATAATAAAACCACTATACATTAAAATGTTTTACATAGTTTTTAATATATTATATATTTATTTTATTTAATATTTTATTGTATACATTAAAAATATATAAAAATATGACAAAGGTAAACAGATGTACAAAGGCGAGCTTAACTCTAAAAGAGTTTTCTTCCAGCAAACCCAAAGTATCTTATTTAATATATATTACTAATATAAAATAATTGTAATTAGACGATGTCTGTATATAGAATATTAAAAAAAATGATATATTGTGTCTTAATAAGACAAATAAATCCAGATACAATAACTTTTGGAATTTTGTCTGTGTGCGTATTTGTTTCAGCGTTATGTAAAAATTAAATTTGAATTAAATGTGGTTTACATAGTTATATTCTAGAAAGTCTAACATAAAAACTGATCTTGACACTTTATCTAGAAGTATTCACTTCCTTCTAAAACCTACACGATCGATGTTGCGGACAAATTCTTGTAATCTATTTTTAATTGCAGTAATGCAATAATATTAAGCAAGTTATTTTTAAATTACTGAGAATATGACCTTTAGTATTGATATCGCGTATAGTTTGGTAACTATTGTAATTCCCTATTTCCAGAGAATTCTATTTTCAATAGTTCCCAAACTTTGGTCTGTTTCAGTAAAGTTCATGAAAAGGTAACAAAATGTGGTCGAAAGTGTCACAGTAACACTCTCTAATTGAAATTAGTAACGAATCAAAATATTAAATTGATTTTTTATTTATATATCAGCAGAGCGTTTTATAATCAGTTTATTTATATTTTTATTAAATTCTATTGAAATATAAACCTATATACTATGCACAGAAAAAAAAAATAGAATTTTAAAAATAGAGAGTAAAATTATCATTCAATATATTAATTTGTAGGTTTACTATTATTATTGTAGATGGAATAATCCACCGGTATTTGGTGGATGATAAGGTCGGGTCAGTTTGTCGTAGCGTATTTGCAGAGGATATATATTGCTAGCGTTGGGGAGCAGGATTAGGATTGTAGGTAATAAATGTATGTACTTATGTTCTATTTTTAGATATTTGGAATGGCGTAGGAATTAAAAATTATTGTTTGCTTACGCATATTTTACGAATGATATTCTCAATGGCAACTTCAATCGTCATTAAATTAATATGGTACTTATATGAGATAGATGTATGGTTCCGGCGTAGAATAGGCCATCCCTTCCTTTCTCATGGGTGTCGTAAGAGGCGACTAAGAGAGTTTAATGGTCGAGTGATAAACAACAGCCCAAAAACATCACCAAAGTCTAATTGCGGTTGCCAAACCTCTTACCAAATGTGGCAAATTCGAGCAAAGGCCCTCAAGGGGAAGGTCTATGGTCAGTAATGGTCAGTTAACGGCTGATATGGTGATAATGAGATAAAACCACATCGATTGCGAAATTATTTGAATTGAAATAAATATATTGGCGCATTTAAGATTATTATTATTATCCAGGGGGGGGGGGGGGGGGGCATGGCCTTGTTCCTTAAAAAGATATATATGTTCTTTTGAACATCTCTTCTTTTCTCAGCTGAAAGCTCTACTCCTGATCCGGAGGTGAGTTTCGGACAGTTCTGGGGTAGGCACCGGAGAGTTCTGGAGTGAGCATCGAAGAGTCCTGGGGTGGGCCCGGCCTACCTAACCTCTCCTTATAAATACGATATACCTCCTACAAAATAGGTTCAGAATTGGAGACTTATTATTATTGATATACGGTCTTTTTTTAAAAAAAAAAACTTCACAGTGCTAACCTTCTGTGTATGCTTTTTTTAAAGTTTGATTGATTGATTCGAGATTTAGTGGCAAAAAATAAAACAACTGGATGTATTGAGGGATCTCCTTCTTAAAGTAGTTAAGAAATAATGGTTATAGTTGTTTTCTCTTGAGAATTGACATTTGGACATAGTGTGGGTGTGTGTGTGTGTGTGTGTATTTATATTATTAGTGAAATAAATATCAGGCGGCCGAAGTTGTTTGTATTCTCTAGTGAGTATATTAAGAGATGTCTTTCCTTTCACGAAAAAGACATGTGACCTTTCAATACGTCTTTATTTTTATGAAATCAATCTGGATTTTCTACGTTATTTAATTAGGTTAACTGTGTTTCGGTATGAAAGGTGGGATATGGCAGTGATTATAAGGTACACAGGAATAACACCCGAGTCCTCAAGAATGCCAACGCATGGGGGGTACCATGGGCGAAACAGTATACTTTGTTATGTCCATGGTACTGCTCATGTCTATAGGCGACGGATACCACTTTCCATCAGGTGGACCGTCAACTTGTTGGCCACTCTAAGTTGCATAAAAATAAAAGTTTTTAAATAAGACTCTGATATAATAAATAATAATAATCATAATTAAGTACTAAAAAATTTGATAGTATATTTCATCATCATCATCATCGTCATCATCATATCAGCTTTTAACTGTTCACTGCTACATTACAGACACCTCTCCCTTGGAGGGTTTTTCTAGTAGTTGCTATGCTTGGCAGGCGGATTGGCAACCGCAGCTAAGCTTTGGAGATGTATTAAGGGGAATGCTGCTGCCCATCTCTCGTTCTATATATACTGTATATTACAGTATATTTGGTAGTTAATAATTAAAAATATATAACTAATATAAGAATATATTAAAGAAAACTATATATACTCCCAACTGTAACTGCAAATTATTATAATTGCAAATTATTATTGCAAATTATTGTATATTAGTGCTATAGAGAAATTATAAATACGTATAAAATCCAATAAAAAATCTACTTAATGCTGACGATAAAATAAATATAAAATATTTGGCATTTTATTATTCGGTATGTTAAGGTTTGTTTGAATCTTATGCTATTTTGATAACTTTAAAATAGTTTAGTAAAATAATTATAAACTTTACTATAATATTTCTATGCCCACAGATAAAAACACATTTTACTTAAAAGAATAACACATTACCTATTCTAAATCTGTGACTTAGTACAATAAAATAAATATTTTATATTTTATTAAAAAGAGTCCACTTACCAAAAAGATTTGACTCGATTAAAATAATCCACGAAACTTTTCAGCCAGTTATAAATATTTAAAAAAAGAGTTCCCACACAAATAAAAAGTTTTCACGCTAATTTAAAATCGAAATTAATTAATTATGATTATAAATGAAGAAGAGCACGTTCGTAATTTGAAATATTAAAACTTTTTCTCGCGCAGTCGTGTTTACGCGCGTATTTATCGTACAGCTGGGCGGGTTCGTGTACACGCACCAATGTTCAGAATCAGACTGACTTTTCTCTAAGTCCAGTATGCTATAGGTTTAGTAAAATAATATCATATAATGACACTCGCATCATTTTACCTTACAAAAGATGGATATTTTTATGATACTTTTCGCTTCGTACGTAATAATGGTATTCTAAATGTCAAACTCAATATATTGTTAACGGGTCTTGGTTCAAATGTCACGTAATGTAATATATACATGACATTGGTGTAACTGTAAAGCAAAATATATATATATTTAAAAAGGTTTGCGACGTGTATTCTAGAAATAGTAGAATTCCTGATAGATTAGTGCTTTCACAAACATGTTGATGAAGTATATAAAAAAAAAAAAAAAAAACTATCAAACTATTTGCAATTTTATTAAAATTTATAATAAAATTCCAAATACGTGGAAAATGTATAATATAAAAATATTCAAAAGAAAGTTTTATGAATTGTTAAGCTAAGAAGATGTTTATAAAGATTTCCTAAAATAGTAACTGACTGCAGAATACATGTAACTTTTCCATTTTGTGCGCGTTAATATAAAAGTAAACTATATGATAATGTAGTTTACGTTATGGTTATTATGCAGCCCAAAAAACGTTTTTAAGAAATTTATATAATCATTTGATTAATTATTTTGCACCATAAAGTAGCTGGTTCCTTTATGTTATCTATTCATATCGATATTTTGGACAAAGGCGTATAATTAATAGTTGTATGATACTATGAATGTTCATTTATTAAATTTGATTAATACTTCTATTTGGCTGCGTAGATTTATCCAATATCGTTAATATAAATTTAGTGATGAGTATATTATTAAACTCAATTCAGCTGCATTCATTGCAAGATTTTTTATATGCAAAATAAAAGAAAAAAAAATGGGTTGAAACATCAACAAAATGATCACTTATAGATATAAAAGATATAAAAGAACCATAATACTGTCGATGAATAATTATATCAATAAAATAATATATATATATATATATATATATATATATATATATATATATATATATATATATATATATATATATATAGAACATTGTCGAAGTATTTTATAATATGTAAAATAATTATATCAATATAAATATATATATATAAATATATATATATATATATATATATATATATATATATATATATATATAGAACATTGTCCTTTTTGAAGTAGTTTAAAGAGATGTGAAATATGTACAAAGTATCAAACAAAGCGCCAGATTACTTATAATATGAAGATAAAACTAGATATAGTAATCCTTTGGAAATCTAAAGAACTGGGTCAGTAAATGATCTCATTGTGATGACTTCACAAGTGTCTATGTACCACATCGCAACTTACCAATTTTGATATAATGTAATAATAATGTCACACAAACAAACAAACTTTCGTCCTCGAGCTATTATTATTTCTGTATTAATCCATTAACCAGGCAACGAATATCTAGGGTACTACCTCTAAATTGGTCCGACTAAGAATTGAAGCCGGGGTCTTGTTTACGTAAAGCAAGGTACCCATTACTATGTCACATTGATAATCATTTACAGGATTTATTTTTAAATCGTAAAAAGGTTTTTACAATGTTAGCAGCATATATGCAATGTTGCCAGTATTGTAAGTTCTCAGATGCTACGTCGACCACCTACGATCAGGCGGGCCATATGCTTGTATGTTGTTCTGATGAATTAAAAAAAAAACAATAAATTGATATGGATATTCAATTATCAGATAGTAAGATACATTTATTAGTCGATTTGATAGAAATTTTACTTTTTTGATATAGAGGATTAAAATAAAAACAGAAGTCTGAGAACTAAAGGTCTCCATTCTGATTACTTTAATACATATAAATATAAAACGGTTTCGAAGAAAGTTGTGTTCTTTCTTAAGCATAATAATATATAATTAAAATAATGTAATAAAAATGCAAAATGTCTAATTTTCCATCTTGAGAAAATAACTGCTAATAATAAATATTTATATATCAGCAAAATTTTTAAACTAGTTAAAAAATTACCAACTTCAAAAATAGAGTAGGTTTTATCAGAATAAAGTGAGTTAATCGTGATAATTGATCGAGATTTTACTAGTATGGAGTTCTTTAAAAGATCCATTAAGATTTCTTTTGTCGTATGATCCTAGGATAGTAAAGGCCACTCCTTCTTCTCCCGTAAGTGTCTTAAGAACCTACTAAAAGAACTTAATGGTCTAACTTATGGAATGAGTAACAGCGTCCTTCTTAAAATGTCACCAAGGCTTAACTGCTGTAGCCAATTTGCCTGACCAGCGTGGCACTACGGGCAAAATTCCCACAATAGAGGGAGGCCTATGTTTACAAATGGATAATTAAGTGCTGATATGGTATGGTATGGTAAGGTTTCTTTAGGGTTAGCAACGTGCACGTGATACCCCAAGAATTACAGATTTTTAGAATAGAAGAAGAATAGAAACATTTATTGCCAGTAAACTTACAATATAAAATATAAATAACATATACAAAAAGTGTCCCACACCCGGCAAAAGGAACCGGCTCAGCGGATGCTGTGAGTGTCCCAGCGCAATGTGAACAGCTGCACAGCGCTGGTTTTCAGCCAGTCCCTCTCTTAACAAAACAACCAAAGTGCAGGGTACCACTGTACATTACTTTTTACAAGAATTATATTATAAATTTTACATGAATTACAGATGTCCTAAAGTACAGTGACTGTTTTCCACTAGACGGACTATATATTTGTTTGATACCTCCGTAATGTAGAGGTTTTTTTTATATTTGCACTGTTCTTACAGTGCAGTCATATGAACCTGTGTTAATTAAATATTAATATTTTAAAAGTCTCTCAGCTAATGTTAGTATAATAATAATCTTTTAAATTAACTTTTCAAATAAAATTAATTTTAACTACCGTGGACGAACCTATGACGACAGTTTATTCGGCGTAAAATATTTTCTAATTAAGTTGAGAATATGTAATTTTAATTTCAATCAAATATTCTCTGTGTCATAATTAATGTGTTTCAAAGAAATATCTGAACATAGTAGTATTGTCTTATTCCCCTTTATTACTTTATATTTTTAATAAATAAATAAAATAAAAAAATAAATTTATATATAACTAAATGAATAACATTAAATTCAAATTCTTTACATATTTTTTTGTCAAAGACATCGTTTTATAATATGCCTAGTGCCTTCATTATTAATAGCAGTTATTTGATTTTAAGAATTCCTATTTATTATTCTTAGATTTTTTGATATATTTTCAGTTCTTGATAGAGCACCTTTATTAGAGCCGCATATTAAAGAGCTTAACTTTTTTTTAAATTGACACTCGTTTCGGTTAGTATATGAAATTATATTAAATTTGTGAATGTTTTTTCTGTGTGATCTTATATTATTTTTTAATAGAAACTATTATTTTTATATTATATTATCAATACGTTGAGAAATAAACATTTATTTATACTACAAGACTTTAATTTGGTGTATAAAAGTAAAGCGTCAACCAACAATTATCTGACTGTTCTTTTAGGGATGTTTTTGACATTCGACGCTACATCCAGATATGTCTGAATTATAATTAAAAAAAAAAACATATGTTTGTACTTTTTATCAATTTAGTATATTATAGTTTCATATAATTAATTATGCTATTATAATAAAATATTATTTGTCCATTTTTGAGTACAAAATTATCTTCGCACGAAAATCATCAATCATTTAAGATCAAATATGTCTTTACACTCGTAAATATGTAATATACAAACAAACGTTAAAACAAAACCTAATTTATGTTATAAATTAGGAAGAATTTTCAAAATTTTACTAAACACAAACATATCTCGGTCAATAACCGGTTTTATTAGTAATACGGTGTTTTGATTTTTTCGCAATCACCTTTTTTCCGTGATCGTGTATTGGATGTATAAGTCATTGTTCCATTTCGATACGGCAATAAATAGTCACCTCGCCGGCCAATATCGAAGTGCCGATTGAAATTCATGAGAAGAAAGAAAGAAATGAAATAAGGCAGACAAAAACTTGGCAGAGGCATGCTGTTCATTATCTTTGAAGGTAAAATAGAAATATAATTCAAGCAGTGCTATTTTTTCTAAAGCAGTTGCAAAATTAAAAGCTGCGAGATTTTTGCCTCATGCACGTTTTTAAATTAATAAAAATTGTGTTATCTTTTAAAAAAGGAATTGGTTTTTAGTTTACCTGTTTTTGAAGACAAGTTGTTTATAAAATACAAACTTTTGCCCGCGACTTTGTCCGCGTGACCGGTATATATTCACTAACAGGGATAAAAAGTAGTTTATAACCTTTTCCATCGCATTTACTACTATATTTTTTTACTATATTTATTTATTTTTTATAAGGGGATATTTATTTTTTACAAGTTGACTTGTTAGACGTCATTCTGTTGAAAGCTATTGGACTGTGAGAGTCAGTCAAAACTGATTATATGGGAAAAACAAAAACAGGGTTATTACGTTTTTTCCGAGTAATTTTTCACTTCATACGAATTAATTACTAATAAAAAATAAAGTCTGAAATACATTACATACTTTTATTAAAATAAAATGCATTTTGTAAGTAAACGGATTGTGAGAAACGGTAAATTTAGTATGAAACCAAAAGGGTCTCTTATATCAATAAAGCTGACCAAGCACCCTGGACTCTGATACAAAAAAGTTAGCCTTTTTTGTGAATTTCCATTGGTTCCGAATAACTTTGATGGGTATTGTGAAAAAGTGCCCTGTACTGACGCAGCTTTATCTTGTTTAATACTACCTCATTTTTCTGAATTTACATTTTAATGATTTGTCGAACAATGCAGCGTAAGACTTACCTATTTTAATGCATAGTTTACTACAGATAATGTCTTTTTTTATATCACGAAGGTGGTAAATAAGCACATAGTTCGTCTAATAGTAAACGATCGCTGCAGTCTATGAACGCCTGCAACACTAGGGGTAGCATGTGCGCGTTGCTGACTCTGAAGAAATCTTAATACACCCTTT